GAAAAGGGGGGGAAAAAAAAGGGGGGGGGGGGGAAAGGGAAGGAAAAAAGGGGGGAAAAAAAAAAAAGGGGGGGAAAGGGGGGAAAAAAAAAAAAAAAAAAAAGGGGGAAAAAAAAAAAAAGGGGGGGGGGGGGCGGGGAAAAAGGAAAAAAAGGGGGGGGGAAAAAAAAAAGGGGAAAAAAAAGGAAAGGGGGGGGGGGGAAAAAAAAAAAGAAAGGGGGGGAAAAAGGGGGAAAAAAAAGGGGGGGGGAAAAAAAAAAAAGGGAAGTAAAAGGAAAAAAAAGGGTTGGGGGAAAAAAGGGGGGGGGAAAAAAAAGGGGAAAAAAAAAAAGGGGGGGGAAAAAAAGGGAAAAAAGGGGGGGGGGGAAAAAAAAAAAAAAAAAGGGGGGAAAGGAAAAGGAAAAAAAAAAAAAAGGGAAAAAAAAAAAAGGGGGAAAAAAAAGGGGGGGAAAGGAAGGGGCCGGGGAAAAAAAGGGGGGAAAAAAGGGGGGGGAAAAAAAAAAGGGGGGGGGGGGGGAAAAAGGGGGGGGGAAGGGGGGGGAAGGGGGGGAAAAAAAAAGGGGCCCGGGGGGGGGGGGGGGGGGGGCCCCCCCGGGGCCCCCCCCCCCCCGAATTTTAAAAACCCCCCCCCCCCCCCTTTTGGGGGGGGGAAAAAAAAAAATTTTTTTTTTTTTTTTTTTTCCCCCCCCCCCCCTTTTGGGGTTTTTTAAAAATTTGGGGAAAAGGGGAAAAAAAAAATTTTTTTTTAAAAGGGGGCCCCCCCCCCCAAAAAAAAAAAAAAAAAAACCCCCCCCCCCCCCCCCCTTTTTCCCAAACCCCAAAAAACCCCCTTTTTCCCCTTTTTCCCCTTTTTTAAAAAATTTCCCCCGGGGGGGGCCCCCCCCCCCCCCCCCCCCCTTTTTTCCCCCCCCCCTTTTTTTTAACCCCCCCCCCCCTTTCCCCATTTTTTTTTTTTTTTTAAAAAAACCCCCCCCCCCCCCGGCCCCCCCCCCCCAAAAAAAAAATTTTTTCCCCGGGGGGAAAAAAAAAATTTTTTTTTTTTCCCCCCCGGGGGCCCCCCCCCCCCCTTTTTTTTTTTTTTTCCCCCCCCCCCCCCCCCCCGGGGGGGGGAACCCCCCCCCCCAAAAAAACCCCCCCCTCCCCGCCTTTTTTCCCCCCCCCCCCCCGGGGGGAAAAAGGGGGGGCCCCCCCCCCCCCCCCGGGGGGGGGGGAAAAAAAAACCCCCCCCCCCTTTTTTTTGGGGGGGGGGAAAAAAAAAAAAAAGGGGGGGGGGGGGTTTTTTTTTCCCCCCTTTTTTTCCCCCTTTTTTCCCCCCTTTTTAAAAAAAAAAGGGGAACCCCCCTTTTTTTTTTAAAAAAAAACCCCCCCCCCCCCTTTTTCCCTTTTTTTTTCCCCCCCCCCCCCCCCTTTTTTTTTTTTTTTTTTTCCCCCCCCCCCCCCCCCCCCCCCCTTTTTTTTTTTTTTTTTTTTAAAAAAACCCCCCCCCCCCCCCCCGGGGGGGGGGGGGGGGGGGGTTTTTTTTTTTTTTTTTTTTTTTTTTTTTTTAAAAAAAATTTTTTCCCCCCCGGGGGGGGGGTTTTTTTGGGCCCCCCCCCCCCAAAAACCCCCCCCGGGGGGGGGGCCCCCCAAAAAAAAATTTTAAAAAAAAAAAAAACCCCCCCCCCCCCCCCCCCAAAAAACCCCCTTTTTTTTTTTTAAAAAAAAAAAAAAAAATTTTTTTTTTTTTTTTTTTTTTTTTTTTTTCCCCCCCCCCCCCCCCCCCCCCCCCCCCCCCCCCCCCCCAAAAAAAAAGGGGGGGGGGGGAAAAAAAAAAAACCCCCCCGGGGGGGGGGAAAAAAAAAAAAAAAAACCCCCCCCCCCCCCCCCCACCCCCCCCCCCCCCAAAAAAAAACCCCCCCTTTTTTTTTTGGGGGGCCCCCCCCCCCCCTTTTTCCCCCCCCCCCCCCCCCCCTTTTTCCCTCCTTCCCTTTTTTCCCCCCTCCCCCCTTTCCCCCCCCCTTTTTTTTCCCCCCCCCCCCCCTTTTTTTTTTTTTAAAAAAAAAAAAAAAAAAAAAAAAAAAAAAAGGGGGGGGGGGGTTTTTTTTTTTTTTTTTTTTTTTTTTTGGGTTCCCGGGGCCCCCCCGGGGGGGGTTTTTTTTAAAAATTTTTTTGGGGGGGGGGGGGAAAAAAAAAAAAAAAACCCCCCCCCGGGGGGCCCCCCCTTTTTTCCCCCCCCTTTTTTTTTTTTCCCCCCCCCCCCCCCCGGGGGGGGGGCCCCCCCCCCGGGGGGGGGGGGGCCCCCCCCCCCCCCCCCCCCCCGGGGCCCCCCCCCCCCCAAAAAAAACCCCCCCCCCCCCTTTTCCCCCCTTTTTTTTTTTTCCCCCCCCCCCCCCCCCCCCCCCCCCCCCCTTTTTTTTTTTGGGGGGGGGGGGTTTTTAAAAAAAAAAATTTTTTTTTTTTTTTCCCCCCCCAAAAAAAAAAAAAGGGGGGGGGGGAAAAAAAAAGGGGGGAAAAAGGGGGGAAAAAAAAAAAAAAAAGGGGGAAAAAAAAAAAAAGGGGGGGGAAAAAAAAAAACCCCCGGGGGGGGAAAAAGGGGGGAAAAAAAAAAACCCCCCCCGGGGGGGGAACCCCCCGGGGGGGGGGGAAAAAAAAAAAAAAAAAAAAAACCGGGGAAAAAAAAAAAAAAGGGGAAAAAAACCCCCCAAAAAACCCAAAAAGGGGAAAAAAAACCCCCCCCCTAATTCCCCCCCCCAAAAAACCCCCCTTTTCCCCTTCCCCCCCCCTTTTTCCCCCCCCCCACCCGGCCCCCATTTTCCCCAAGCCCCTTGGGTTCCCCCCCCCCCCCCCCCCCCCTTTTTAAAATTTTTTCCCTTTTTCCCCCCCCCCCCCGGGGGGGGGGGCCCCCCCCCGGGGGGGCCCCAATTTTTGGGGCCCGGGGCCCCGGGCCCCCAAAAAAAAACCCCCAAGGAAAAGCCCCTTTTTTTTTTCCCTTTTCCCCCGATTTTTGGGGGTTTTTAAAAAAAAATTTTTTTAAAATTTTTTTTTTTTTTTTTTTTTAAAAAAATTTTTTTTCCCAAATTTAAAAAAAAAAAAAAGGGGTTTTCACTTTTTCCCCAAAAAAAAACCCCCAAAATTTGGGCCCCCAAAAAAAAAAAATTTTTTTTAAAAAAAAATTTTTTTTTTTTTTTAAAAAAAATTTTTTTGGGAAAAAAAAATTTTTTTTCCCCCCCCAACTTTTTTTGGGCCCCTTTTGGGCCCCTTTTTTAAAAAATAAAAAAAACCCCCCCCCTTAAATTTTTTTTTTAAATTTTTAAAAAGTTTTCAAATTTTTAAAAAAATTTTTTCCCCCCCTTTTTTTTTAAAAAAAAAAACCCCCCCCTTTTTCCCCCCCCCCCCCCCCTTTAAAACCCCTTTCCCCCCCTTTTTTTTTTAAAACCCCCTTTTTAAAATTTTTAAAAAAAAAAAAAAAAAATTTTTTTAAAAAAATTTTTTCCCCCTTTTTTTTTGGGGAAAAATTTTTGGGCCCCCCTTTTTCCCTTTTTTTTTGGGGGGGGGGGGGCCCTTTTTTTGGGGGGGGGGTTTAAACCCCTTTTAAACCCTTTTTAATTAATAAAAAAAAAACCCCCCCCCCTTCCAATTTAAAAAATTTTTTTTTTTAAAATTTAAAACCCCCCCCCAAATTTTTCCCTTCTTTTTTTTGGTTTTTTTTTTTAAAAACAAAAGGGGGGGGGGCCCCCCCCCTTTTTGGTTTTTTAAAAGGGGGGTTGTTAAACCTTAAAGCTTGATTATCATCAAGCAAGTAAGTGAGGTAGTAAACTTGCCAAAACATTTGGTGCCCCTTGTATGAGGAAGTCTTATAATTTGAATGAATGTTACTTCTTGTGTGGAAGACAGAGCATTATTTACATCTTTGTTTTCACCTCTGTCTCTCCTGTCTGAACACCTAGACTAGTGTTTATGGAGCATTGTACCTCCTGCTCAAGTTCCTCAATTTTAAGGAAACTTGAATAATAACCAGCAGACTAGATAAGGCTCTGAATTATATTTATTGTTGCATATACGTATATGGGAAACAGTGTATTACACTGTATTACACTTTCAAAAGAGTTCTTCTCTCCTTATACAGGCTTTCTTATCAAATAAAGTCAGCTCACATTGGAAGGACCAAGGCAGACACCCCACCTAAAATGTCACATATGCCTGCTGGCACTGATATAATCTACATATGTGTGTGTAACTTGCAATAAACAAACTTGAAATACACTATATTGCCAAAAGTATTGGGACGCCTGCCTTTACGTGCATATGAACTTTAATGGCATCCCAGTCTTAGTCAGCAGGGTTTAATATTGAGTTGGCCCCCCTTTGCAGCTATAACAGCTTCAACTCTTCTGGGAAGGCTGTCCACAAGGTTTAGGAGTGTGTCTATGGGAACGTTTGACCATTTTTTCAGAAGCGCATTTGTGAGTTCAGGCACTGATGACAAGAAGGCCTGGCTCGCAGTCTCTGGTCTAATTCATCCCAAAGGCATTCTATCGGGTTGAAGTCAGGACTCTCTGCAGGCCAGTCAAGTTCCTCCACCCCAGACTCGCTCATCCATGTCTTTATGGATCTTGCTTTGTGCACTGCTGCACAGTCATGTTGGAACAGGAAGGGGCCATCCCCAAACTGTTGCCACAAAGTTGGGAGCATGAAATTGTCCAAAATGTCTTGGTATGCTGATGCCTTAAGAGTTTCCTTCACTGGAACTAAGGGGCCAAGCCCAACCCGGAAAAACAACCCCACACCATAATCTCCCCTCCAACAAACATTACATTTGGCACAATGCAATCAGGCAAGTACAGTTCTCCTGGCAACCGCCAAACCCAGACACGTCCATCGAATTTCTATACAGAGAAGCATGATTGGTCACTCCAGAGAACATGTATCCACTGCTCTAGAGTCCAGTGATGGCATGCTTTACACCACTGCATCCGATGCTTTGCATTGCACTTGGTGATGTAAGGCTTGGATGCTGCTGCTTGGCCATGGAAACCCATTCCATAAAGCTTTCTACACACTGTTGTGCTAATCTGAAGGCCACACGAAGTTTGGAGGTCTTTAGCTATTGACTCCGCAGACAGTCGGCGACTTCTTCGCACTGTATGCTTCAGTATGTGCTGACCCTGCTCTGTCATTTTATGTGGCCTACCATTTTGTGACTCAGTTGTTGTTCACAGTTGATTCCACTTTGTTATAATACCACTAACAGTTGACCATGGAATATTTAGTAGCAAGGAAATTTCATGGATGGACTTATTGCACAGGTGGCAACCTATCATGGTACCACACTTGAATTCACTGAGCTCCTGAGAGTGACCCATTCTTTCACAAATGTTTGTAGAAGCAGTCTGCATGCCTAGGTGCTTGATTTTATACATCTGTGGCCATGGAGGTGATTGGAACACCTGTATCCAATGATTTGGAGGGGTGCCCAATACTTTTGGCAATATAGTGTATATGAAGTTATGGATAGAAGCATCTCTAATGAGACAAGATGGAGTATACATAGCCATCTTATAATATTCTATATATGTGACTCAGTAAGGATCATAGTTATCCCTATACACTAGTAAGCTTCTTCAAGCTTTTTTTTTTTCTTAACCTTTTGTCTGTACTAAAATTTTGATGAGACTAAGTATGAACAGTATGATTAAAATAAAATTGTACTGAGAGTTTATGAGAAAACATCCTGTCCTGATTAATCGATCAACATGGGCACAATCAGACTGTTCATAGATCGATCGGATATCGGTGAGATTCAATCCATATATGGCCAGGTTAAGGGACTGCCTTGTTTTCCCCAGAGCTCCTGAGCCCTGGTTCACACTGATGTGGTGCAGAATTCGCAGTGTTTTCAGTGTGAATAATGCACCGCATCAAAATCACACCCCGTTCATGAGAACCGCTGCGGGTGTGTATGTTAAGTTAAGGACACCACGAAAGCGGTCTGCAAAATGCGGTGTGATGTGCAGAATCGGATTGCATAGGTTTGAATACCTATTTGATCCGATTATAGTGTGGACCCAAAAAAGGGTTCTGCGTGTTTTTGGTGTGGGTGCTATGTGAATAGAGCCATACAAAATGTATGATTCCAATCGCACCGCACACAAATCGCATGTGATTTGCACAGGAATGTGGTGCAGTTCCTGTGCTAATCACATGCAATATACCACATTGCACATATGTGAACCCAGGCTGAAGGTGGAAATGAGTTGCACTGTAGATGATTGCCAGGTTGCAGTTCTCTACTCACCTGAGCAGGCAGCTACTGGGAGCTAAAGTATGATAAGCAGATAAGAATCCCTTGCAGCACTGAGGAACAAGGATAGCTGGATAGTAGACAGTACAGTCCAAGCAGGCAGGGGTGCATGGAAATAGTTGCACAGAGACACACAGGACAACTGGGAATGATTGCAATAAGAAAAATAGGAATTGATGTGCTGCCCGACATTGCAGTGCGATTCGACCTGGTGCGCTGTGATAAAATACAACATTTTGCATTTTACCACAGGATGTTGCATTGCAGTGTGAGTGGGACACATAGAAAACAATTGCTTCCTGTGTGTCCCTGTGGTGACAGACATTCTACGATATTGTAAAACGTCTGTCACTGCATATAGTGTGAATTGGCCCTGAAGCAGACTGCAGATACAGGTGTTGCTAACAATCACAGAGGTGCAGGAAGGCTGAAAGCTGGCAAAGGTAAACAGGGAAAACACAAGGGAAACAGAGTCACAAAGACACTGAAATGCTCAATGGACACAGGAGTCTCAAGGATACAGGTTGCAGAAACACTAGGGACAAGCTGAAAGACATCGGGGGTACATGGAACACACTAAAAAGCACTGGGAGATGCTTGCATTCAGACACTAGGAACAATGTGGGGTCCAACTACAGGTTTACTTGAAAAACACTGGGGACACTAAGAATCTTCTTGGAAATTTTCATGTTTCACATGACTGTCATATTTAGAGATGAGCGAATTATTCAAAAATTCGATTCGACTGATTCGGCGAATTCGTGAAAAAAATTTTGATTCGAGTCGAATATATTCGCTGCGAATTTAACTTATAAAAGGCTGTTTCTAGGCTTCAGAGAGCCTTTATATTAGTGCAGAACACTGTACCTTTAATTTAAATGCCCTTTGAGTCTGCTGGGGAAGAGAAATAATACTGACAGTCAGTATGACATGCAGATGAGTGCCGTCGATCTTAGAATCACCGCACACTTCACTCATTTGGGCAGTCACGGGGCCAAAACCAGAGTGTGGAGCCACAGTGTGGCGGTGGAGGCAGCAGCAATGGGAGGCCATACAGCACCCTATGACAAAAATGGAAACCACCAGCAGTGTGAGGAGACCTGAAAGTGGCACATGGCAGAGTGTGGCGATGGAGACAGCAGCAATGGGAGGCCGTACAGGGACCCATGACACACTCTGGACGTGGCAGCAGCATGAGGAGGCGGTACAGGGGCCCATGACAGATTACGGGCCTGGCAGCAGCATGAGGAGTCGGTACGGGGGCCTATGGCAGATTACGGGCCTGGCAGCAGCAATGGGAGGCCGTACAGGGACCCATGACACACTCTGGACCTGGCAGCAGCATGAGGAGGCGGTACAGGGGCCCATGACAGATTACGGGCCTGGCAGCAGCATGAGGAGTCGGTACGGGGGCCCATGACACACTCTGGACCTGGCAGCAGCATGAGGAGGCGGTACAGGGGCGCATGACAGATTACGAGCCTGGCAGCAGCAACTTGGACAGGAGGACGTTCAGCTTCTGCACCGTCGGGTGCGTGCTCGCAAACTGTTGTCTCTTGGAAACGGATTCCAAGAAAGACTGCTGACGGAATCCGTGAAGAGGAGTAGCAGGAGAAGGAGCATCTCAACGAGCGGAATATGCCAACAAGCGACAACAGGGGCCCATGACAGATTACGGGCCTGGAAGCAGCATGAGGAGTCGGTACGGGGGCCCATGGCAGATTACGGGCCTGGCAGCAGCAATGGGAGGCCCGTAATCTGCCAGCACCCTATGACAAAAAATGGAACACACCAGCAGTGTGTGAGGAGACCTGAAAGTGGCACATGGCAGAGTGTGGCGATGGAGACAGCAGCAATGGGAGGCCGTACAGGGACCCATGACACACTCTGGACCTGGCAGCAGCATGAGGAGGTGGTACAGGGGCCCATGGCAGATTAGGGGCCTGGCAGCAGCTATGGGAGGCCCGTAATCTGCCAGCACCCTATGACAAAAAATGGAACCCACCAGCAGTGTGAGGAGACCTGAAAGTGGCACATGGCAGAGTGTGGCGATGGAGACAGCAGCAATGGTAGGCCGTACAGGGACCCATGAGAGACTGTGGACCTGGCAGCAGCATGAGGAGGCGGTACACTGGGGCCCATGGCAGATTACGGGCCTGGCAGCAGCAATGGGAGGCCCGTAATCTGCCAGCACCCTATGACAAAAAATGGAACACACCAGCAGTGTGAGGAGACCTGAAAGTGGCACATGGCAGAGTGTGGCGATGGAGACAGCAGCAATGGGAGGCCGTACAGGGACCCATGACACACTCTGGACCTGGCAGCAGCATGATGAGGCGGTACAGGGGCCCATGGCAGATTACGGGCCTGGCAGCAGCAATGGGAGGCCCGTAATCTGCCAGCACCCTATGACAAAAAATGGAACACACCAGCAGTGTGAGGAGACCTGAAAGTGGCACATGTTTGGGGCATGATTCATGGCGGATTTAGTCAGTTGTGTCAGGAACTGTTGGTTTGAAATCCAGACTAATCCACGCCTGATTCATTTTCACAAACGTGAGTCTCTCCACACTTTGGGTGGACAGTCGTGTCCTCCGCGGAGTTACAATACCTCCTGCCGCACTAAACACGCGCTCCGATGCCACGCTACTGGCCGGGCATGACAGCCTTTCAAGGGCAAATTCAGCTAGTTGGGGCCAAAGGTCAAGTTTTGTTGCCCAGTAGTCAAGGGGATTGTCTACCTCGGTTGGCAGGGTGCTGTCCAAGTAGGCCTAAGCCTGTTGTTTGAGGTCCTGCTCCAGGTCCACCTGATGCTGCTGCTGCTGCTGCTGCTGCGGCTGGTTAGTAGTTTCCTCACTGCGCTGGTGAAGAAAGCTACTCATCATCGACTGCAGACTGAGGAAGCCGCTGCTGGTGGAGCTGCCACTGCTCCTACCACCCCACCCCTCCCCTGCTGCCATGGCAGCGGAACGCGAGCGCACAGGGCCCACAGTGTCTGAGGATGGACGTTGGCGCAGAAAGGCATAGACCAGCTGACTACATAGGTGGTTTTTATAGTACGTTATTTTGGCCTCCCTCTCAGCAGGTGTGAAAAAGGCCACCATTTTTGAACGGTAGCGAGGGTCCAACAAGGTGGACAGCCAAAAGTCATCCCTCTGTCTGATGGTTATTATTCGGCTGTCGCTACGCAAGCAAGCGAGCATGCTATGGGCCATTTGTGCCAAGGAATGCGAGGGACTCCCTGCCTCCATCTCCACAGCATACTGCCCACGGTGCGTCTGGGTCCTCTGTCTCCTCCTCCTCCTCCTCTACCAGATGCTCCTGCTCCTCCACTCCTGTCCGCTGAGTGGAAAAACCACCCATTTCACTCAATAAATTCCTGAGCACCAATGTCCTCCTCTACCTCCTCCTCTTCTTCCTGTCCTGCCCCCACAGGGGTCATGTGGCGTTGAGATCTGTGCGCCATGTCTACCGCACCCTGACCAGCCATTGTTAACAGCATTTGTTCCAGGACGTGCAACAGAGGAATGACGTCGTTCATCCCATAGTCCTGCCGACTCACGAATAGCGTGGCCTCCTCAAAGGGCCTGAGCAAGCGCAGGTGTCACGCATGAGCTGCCAATGGCTGACATCGAAGTTACACAGGGAGTACCTTTATCCGCTTGTAACATCAGGAAATCTGTGATGGCCTTTCGCTGTTCGTAAAGGCGGTCTAACATATGTAGGGTTGAATTCCACCTTGTTGCAACGTCACAGCATGAGGAGTCGGTACGGGGGGGGGGCCCATGGCAGATTACGGGCCTGGCAGCAGCAATGGGAGGCCCGTAATCTGCCAGCACCCTATGACAAAAAATGGAACACACCAGCAGTGTGAGGAGACCTGAAAGTGGCACATGGCAGAGTGTGGCGATGGAGACAGCAGCAATGGGAGGCCGTACAGGGACCCATGAGAGACTCTGGACCTGGCAGCAGCATGAGGAGGCGGTACAGGGGCCCATGGCAGATTAGGGGCCTGGCAGCAGCTATGGGAGGCCCGTAATCTGCCAGCACCCTATGACAAAAAATGGAACACACCAGCAGTGTGAGGAGACCTGAAAGTGGCACATGGCAGAGTGTGGCGATGGAGACAGCAGCAATGGGAGGCCATACAGGGACCCATGAGAGACTCTGGACCTGGCAGCAGCATGAGGAGGAGGTGGTACAGGGGCCCATGGCAGATTAGGGGCCTGGCAGCAGCTATGGGAGGCCCGTAATCTGCCAGCACCCTATGACAAAAAATGGAAACACACCAGCAGTGTGAGGAGACCTGAAAGTGGCACATGGCAGAGTGTGGCGATGGAGACAGCAGCAATGGGAGGCCGTACAGGGACCCATGAGAGACTCTGGACCTGGCAGCAGCATGAGGAGGCGGTATAGGGGCCCATGGCAGATTAGGGGCCTGGCAGCAGCTATGGGAGGCCCGTAATCTGCCAGCACCCTATGACAAAAAATGGAACACACCAGCAGTGTGTGAGGAGACCTGAAAGTGGCACATGGCAGAGTGTGGCGATGGAGACAGCAGCAATGGGAGGCCGTACAGGGACCCATGAGAGACTCTGGACCTGGCAGCAGCATGAGGTGGCGGTATAGGGGCCCATGGCAGATTAGGGGGGCCTGGCAGCAGCTATGGGAGGTCCGTAATCTGCCAGCACCCTATGACAAAAAATGGAACACACCAGCAGTGTGAGGAGACCTGAAAAGTGAAAGTGGCACATGGCATTGGAGAGACTCTGGAGACCTGGACCTTGGCAGCAGCATGAGGAGGCGGTATAGGGGCCCATGGCAGATTAGGGGCCTGGCAGCAGCTATGGGAGGCCCGTAATCTGCCAGCACCCTATGACAAAAAATGGAACACACCAGCAGTGTGTGAGGAGACCTGAAAGTGGCACATGGCAGAGTGTGGCGATGGAGACAGCAGCAATGGGAGGCCGTATACAGGGACCCATGAGAGACTCTGGACCTGGCAGCAGCATGAGGAGGGGGTACAGGGGCCCATGGCAGATTAGGGGCCTGGCAGCAGCTATGGGAGGCCCGTAATCTGCCAGCACCCTATGACAAAAAATGGAACACACCAGCAGTGTGAGGAGACCTGAAAGTGGCACATGGCATGAGACACTGTGGACCTGGCAGCAGCATGAGGAGGCGGTACAGGGGCCCATGGCAGATTAGGGGCCTGGCAGCAGCTATGGGAGGCCCGTAATCTGCCAGCACCCTATGACAAAAAAATGGAACACACCAGCAGTGTGAGGAGACCTGAAAGTGCACATGGCATGAGAACACTGTGGACCCTAGGCAGTCATGAGGAAGGCGGTACAGGGGCCCTGGCAGATTAGGGGCCTGGCAGCAGCTATGGGAGCCCGTAATCTGCCAGCACCCTATGACAAAAAAAATGGAACACACCAGCAGTGTGTGAGGAGGACCTGAAAGTGGCACATGGCAGAGTGTGGCGATGGGAGACAGCAGCAATGGGAGGCCGTACAGGGACCCATGAGAGACTCTGGACCTTGGTGGCAGCAAAAGCATGAGGAGGCGGTATAGGGGCCCATGGCAGATTAGGGGCCTGGCAGCAGCTATGGGAGGCCCGTAATCTGCCAGCACCCTATGACAAAAAATGGAACACACCAGCAGTGTGAGGAGACCTGAAAGTGGCACATGGCAGCAGTGTGGACTCTGTGGATCCTGGACAGCAGCAATGAGGAGGCGGTACAGGGGACCCATGAGCAGATTAGAGGGGCCTGGCAGCAGCTATGGGAGGCCCGTAATATGGGAGGCCCAGCACCCTATGACAAAAAATGGAACACACCAGCAGTGTGAGTGAGACCTGAAAGTGGCACATGGCAGAGTGTGGCGATGGAGACAGCAGCAATGGGAGGCCGTACAGGGACCCATGAGAGACTCTGGACCTGGCAGCAGCATGAGGAGGCGGTATAGGGGCCCATGGCAGATTAGGGGCCTGGCAGCAGCTATGGGAGGCCCGTAATCTGCCAGCACCCTATGACAAAAAATGGAACACACCAGAAGTGTGAGGAGACCTGAAAGTGGCACATGGCATGAGACACTGTGGACCTGGCAGCAGCATGAGGAGGCGGTACAGGGGCCCATGGCAGATTAGGGGCCTGGCAGCAGCTATGGGAGGCCCGTAATCTGCCAGCACCCTATGACAAAAAATGGAACACACCAGCAGTGTGAGGAGACCTGAAAGTGGCACATGGCAGAGTGTGGCGATGGAGACAGCAGCAATGGGAGACCGTACAGGGACCCATGAAGAGACTCTGGACCTGGCAGCAGCATGAGGAGGCGGTATAGGGGCCCATGGCAGATTAGGGGCCTGGCAGCAGCTATGGGAGGCCCGTAATCTGCCAGCACCCTATGACAAAAAATGGAACACACCAGCAGTGTGAGGAGACCCTGCAAGTGGCACATGGCATGAGACACTGTGGACCTGGCAGCAGCATGAGGAGGCGGTACAGGGGCCCATGGCAGATTAGGGCCTGGCAGCAGCTATGGGAGGCCCGTAATCTGCCAGCACCCTATGACAAAAAATGGAACACACCAGCAGTGTGAGGAGACCTGAAAGTGGCACATGGCATGAGACACTGTGGACCTGGCAGCATTGGCATGAGGAGGCGGTACAGGGGCCCATGGCAGATTAGGGGGCCTGGCAGCAGCTATGGAGAGGCCCGTAATCTGCCAGCACCCTATGACAAAAAATGGAACACACCAGCAGTGTGAGGAGACCTGAAAGTGGCACATGGCAGAGTGTGGCGATGGAGACAGAAGCAGTGGGAGGCCGTAACAGGGGACCCATGAGAGACTCTGGACCTGGCAGCAGCATGAGGAGGCGGTACAGGGGCCCATGGCAGATTAGGGGCCTGGCAGCAGCTATGGGAGGCCCGTAATCTGCCAGCACCCTATGACAAAAAATGGAACACACCAGCAGTGTGAGGAGACCTGAAAGTGGCACATGGCATGAGACACTGTGGACCTGGCAGCAGCATGAGGAGTTAGCGGTACAGGGGCCCATGGCAGATTAGGGCCTGGCAGCAGCTATGGGGAGCCCGTAATCTTCCAGCACCCTATGACAAAATGGAACCCTGGGCTGGGCAGGCAGAACCGCCGTATCTTTATTCACGGTTTTCCCAGGCCACCAAATGGCGACGCTGCATATGCTGCCGCAACGCTGTAGTCCCAACATGGCCCCCTGGCCACGCTTGATTTTCTGGCCACATAGTCGACATACGGCTACGTTTACTTCCTCGGGCGGCTTGACAGAAAAAATTGCCACACCGCCGAGTAGGAAACTTTGCCCCCGATACTCCTCACTGGCTGACTGCTGCTTCCTCCGTGCACACCGGCACCACTACTGGCCGTGGTGGTAGGCTGCAGTGGAGCTGGTGCTGTTACTCCGTGGCCGTTTGCCTCCACTGACACTGCTGCGACCCTGCTGCCTCCTGGGCAACCCACCGACTGTTTTGCTCGCTGCCAAGCTGCCACCCTCTTCTCCTGATGATGCGGAAGCAATAGCCTGATGACGACGAGGCTGCCAAGTGCGATCAGCCTCATCATCATCAATTAGGGTCTCCTCCTCACTACTAGCCCCCTCGGCTGCGTGTGGGTCAGGAGACAGACCTGTCTCTAGACCGGCTACCGAGCCACTCTCCTCGCCACTACTTCTTCGCCTGGCTGCTGAAGAGGCGGATGTCTCTCCCCCCATTCCTGACCGCCCTCTGTTAGCTCTTCCTCACTGTACAGTGGGGCTGAGCCCACAGCATACGATACTTCGCTTGGTGAGGGAACACCAAAGGACAGGGGCAGGTAGAGGACACGTGATTTCAGTGGGCTTGCTCCCGGGCCATGCCAACTAACGGTTGTGTCTGACGTACCCACCGACCGTTGGCTGTAGGTGTCAGAGGTGACCTGGGAAGAGGCGACCCGACCGAGCCAACCAATCGATGACAGGCAGGGTTGTCGGTGGAGACACGAACCGCTGGATGACAACCAGACAGGGAGCACTGGCCTCTGGCATTGCGACTAGTGCTGCCTCGACCCCCTTCCTCTGCTGCCAGAAAAACGTCAGCTCGCTCCTAAAACATTGCCTCTCCGTCTGCCACTCTGCTCATGCAATGTAGTCTGACTCCTCTTTAAATTAAACGATTCATGTGTCCCCTGCAGTAACACTCCTCTGCGTGTCTGCCCACTGACATAACGATTCTTTCCACTGAGTAACACTTTCTGCTGTCACCTGAGTAACAATTCTGTGTCCCTCAGTAACAATTCTGTGTCTTTCCCTCAGTAACAATTCTGTGTCCCTCAGTAACAATTCTGTGTCCCTCAGTAACAATTTCTGGTGTGTGTCCCTGAGTAACAATTCTGTGTCACCTCAGTTAACAATTCTGTGTCCTGTCCCCAAGTAACAATTCTGTGTCTGTCCCAGAGTAAACAATTCTGTGTCCTCAGTAACAATTCTGGTGTCTGTCCTCTGAGTAACAATTTCTGTGTTCCTGTGACCTAAACAAATTCTGATTGTCTGACCCTTGAAGTAACGAATTCTTGTGTCTGTCCTTGAGTAATACATAAACTGATGTCCCTCAGATAACAAATCTGTAGTCCCTCAGTAACAATTCTTGTCCTGTCCCCTTAGTAACAATCTGTGTCCCCCTGATTAAACAATTCTGTGTCCCTCAGATAACAAATCTGTGTCCCTCATCTGAGTAACAATTCTGTTGTCCCTGAGTTAACAATTCTGTGTTCCCTCAGTAACAATTCTAGGTTCCCTCATTTTAAACAATCTCTGTGTCTGATCAGTGTCTGTCTGCTGTTCCCAGTGTAACAATTTTGTTTTCCCCCCTGAGTAACAATTTGTGTCCCCAGTAACAATTCTGTGTCCCCAGTAACAATTCTGTGTCCCTATTTAAAAATTCTGTGTCCCCCCATAACAAATTTTGTTGTCCTGTTCCCTGAGTAACAATTTTTTGTGTCTTCCCTGAGTAACAATTTTTTGTGTCCCCCCAGTAACAATTCTGTGTTCCCCCCAGTAAAAATTCCCGTTCCCTCATTTAACCCAAATTTTGTTCCTGTCCCTGATAACAATTCTGTGTCCCTCCCATAACAATTTCCCGTGTCCCTAAAAACGTTCTGTCCCTAAATAAAATTTTTTCTGTCCCCCCAGTAAAAAAAATTTTGTGTCCCCTTTAGTAACAATTCTGTGTCCCTCATAACAATTCTGTGTCGTCCCCGAGTAACAAATTTTGTGTCTGTCCCTGAGTAACAATTCTGTGTCCCTCAGTAACCCAATTTTGTGTCCCCCCAGAACAATTCCCCGTGTCCCTCAGTAACAATTCTGTTTTTCCCCCAAAATTTAAAAATTCTGGGGTTTTTCCCTGAGTAAAAAAAACAATTCGGGGTCCCCCCCAGTAACAAATTTTTTTTCAAAATGTCCCTGATAACAATTCTGTGTCCCCAGTAACCCAAATTTTGTTCCCCCAGTAAAAAATTCTGTGTCCCCCCAGTAACAATTCTTGTGTCTGGTTCCCCCGAGTAACAATTCTGTGTCTGTCCCCGAGTAACAATTCTTTTTTGTCCCTAATAACTTTCCCGTTTTCCCTAAAT